TTTTCTGCTACGCTGGTAGATTTCCATCCACCATGCCTTTTCAGTGCCAGTCTATCTGCTCCTGAATCAGCGAGAAGGGTTGCTGATGTCCTTCTACACATTTTCCAGTACTATATTTTATAAATAATCGCCGAGAATTCAAATTGTGAGGACGCAAGCTAAAGTATTTTTTGCAGATTGATACAACATCAATGAAGTTTTCCTTGTCGGCGTTACACACGGTAAACGTTCGTGGTTTATGGGTTTTTGAGTCTGGTATTCGTATTATCAAGATATCGTCTTTGTCCACCACATCTTCTGTCATCATTTTTGTGAGTTCATCTGTTCTACAAGCACCAGCAATTCCAATGATTAATACCACCTGAAACAATATTTTTAGTACATAATTATTTTACATAATTTGTTGTACCTACTTTTGCCATTAAAGTATACTTCATCTGGGGCAATTCGAATAAATTTTTCAATTTCTTGTTGATCAAATGTTCTTGACTTTTTTGTAACATGTCCCACAGATTGCTTTTTGAGAAAACCTGTCACTGTTTTATACGTCCCAATATTGACATTATTTTTAATTAATAAGGTTGACTTCAGCATCGAATGGATTAACCACAGTGTTGACGATTTGTATTTTTGCGACAACTCAGACAAATACGTTAAGATGACGTTTTCACCGTATCTTTTCACGTTTTTTGTAGAACACCAATCCATAAATAGTTTGTACTGGAGGTTATATTTTTCTTTTGACTTGTTAGGCAGTAAATCCAGTGTAACCTCCTTCGCCTTATTATTAATTTCAGACGGAGTGCAATATTCCATTGCTTCTTCGCATTCTTGGTCAATTTCTATAGTTCTATTGATTCCACCCGCTGTATTCATTATCAAACAGCAAAGTATACACAAAAATGAGTTTGGGGAGCACGGAGCACATCGACCTAACGTAAGTACTGTAATCTTCCTTGAAAAAGGGGCCTGGTAACTGCTTCCCTTTTTCTTCCTACGTTCTGTTGTGTTGTAATCTTTGTTTTGCAACGTAATGCCTCGAACAATTTAAACACTAATTTTTCCTCTACTTCAAATTCAACTTTAAAAACCGAGTTTTCGACCTCTGTTCTCTCCGCTCTCTCGAATCGAAGTTCTCGAAAATTCCCTAGTCCCTTTTCTTTTCTCTCTCTCTCCATCCCCTCCGGTACTACTCCCCCACTACTCCAAACCTTTGACAAAATCACGACTTTGTTAATAATTTAAACAACCAAAGAACCAAGTTTAGTTTACAACAAAATGAACCTATTCTCATTGTGACCTTGGAGTCGTTTTGTCTGGAAAATTCGACACTCTATTGAAAACGTATCGAATTTAGGTTTTTAAATTTCTAAAGAAATGACCGGATGTTTGATAACTTTTTGTGACTCTCCACATTTTTTAAGAATATTGACTTTTTCCGTAGTTTGCGGACACGTAATTTCATTTTAAAGAAACATAAAAATTACTCATCACTTTGCAGGGTGAAGGAGTCCGGAATATTACAGTACCTATTTGACATAAATGTCAAAATTGCTAACACTGATTTTTACGTTTTGAAAGTGAGGTTATGTCGGACAACTTTGGGAAATATAAATCGAAAAGTGGGCAATGGTGTTACAGCATTTACCCGAGCTATCCCTGACCCCATTAGGCCTCCACCGATCACTGTAACATTTTTGACAAAGTCGATTTTAGAAATTTACATACCAGGTGAATAAAAAGTATGGAACCAAACGTATTTGCTTAAACTATTTATTTTTTGAAAAAACTAATTGATGAGTCATAAAGTACTATAAAAATGTGATGATTTAAGAAGAATAAAATTTTTCGAAATTTCCTTTTGTTTTTGAGTTCTACAAAAAAAAAAAAATTAAATGGCAACCCACTATAAAATCATTTTTCTCATGAAAGCTATACTCTAAGGATTACAACTATCTGCTTTATATTTAATTTTTTCAAAAAAAAAATTCACATAAATTGCAATTTTGACAAAAAAAATCGCATAACTCAAAAACAAAACAAAATTTTGTTCAGAAAATACGATCACATTTTTTATATTACTTTAATTTATATTAATTATTATTTTCTGTGGGCAAATGATTAAAAATAAAACTGCTTGGTTCCATACTTTATATTCACCCTGTATTTAATTCAATTCATTAGACTCATTTCAAATTCTAATCCATTCATTTGTGGGTTGTAGATCCCCAAATGGGGGTGTTTTCCAATATACAAGTGTCCGGAATGTCGAGNTCATGAAAGCTATACTCTAAGGATTACAACTATCTGCTTTATATTTAATTTTTTCAAAAAAAATTTTTCACATAAATTGCAATTTTGACAAAAAAAATCGCATGACTCTAAAACAAAACAAAATTTTGTTCAGAAAATACGATCACATTTTTTATATTACTTTAATTTATATTAATTATTATTTTCTGGGGGCAAATGATTAAAAATAAAACTGCTTGGTTCCATACTTTATATTCAGCCTGTATATAAGAGCCACCTGGTGGTAAAACCTGGCGATTATTTTACCGGCTAGGCATTTTCGATACTTTTGTAGGGCCAGCCGGTAAAATTGGATTTTCTGATAGTGTAGGATAAAAATAAATTTTGTTTTCAAGATTTAGTCAATGCACTGCGGCCGGTTATGCAAACAGCACAACGAAATACTAGAATACCAGTGCACTTTAGAGTTTTAAGTGCATGTACTTTTTTGTTCATGGTAGTTACCTTACTGGGAATAGGACACAGTTACTCGATGTCACAGAGCTAGCCTAGTTTAAATAGAAATATTAATGAGGTGACCAATGCAATTATTCGAGGATTAATTAATTCATTTGGATTGACCTTCGCGGATAATAAGAACTTATTTCTTCAAGAAAAGACACTTGTGCCAATTTTTCTTTAAGCATTTTGAACGCTTTTTACGGAGCCTTGTCGACATAAATGACAAATAAAACTGCCTTGACATTTTTTCGTAGTCGGATCATCATTTAATCAATCAATCAATCAAATAATAACATTTGATCTATTTAATACGATGAAAGCCGAATATTTTAAAGGATCTGTTTAAAAAATATATTTTTAAATGAGCATTTAATTTGATGCATACAGAATAGCTTTTTTAAAGTTGGGGGTTTAAATATTTACATTTAAAGGTACTTTTATTTCTTAATAAGTATTTCCAGAATAGGCCCTAATTTCCTTTATGAATTGGAAACTAATTATCACAATTAACTCAAGTTTTGTAGATATTGTGACACTATTTGATAAATTATGCTTGTGCGTTTCAATTGTTTTTTTCATACCTAGGTAGATTTCTTTTCTAGTGTCCCTCGTAATAGCAGTAATGATATTCATATTTCGAATCCACAACCTTGGAAATTTAAAACGGAAATCCGTCACAAAAGTGAAAAAGAACTAGGAAACAAGCAGTTAACCTTTCCCTTATAATTAGAACTAGATCTGAGTGTCAAGTTTTGTTCTTCGTTACAGCACATTCGCAACTTAATCAATAGTTTTTCAAAGCCATCTTCGTCTTGTATTCGTTAAAAGTGTCACTTCTAATTACACGAGAGCTTTTTTTTTTAAGTAAACTTGACATTTTAATAAGAATTTTGTTTTCTGGCAATTTAGCGAAAAAAACTGCTTTTGAAAAAATTAAATTGCCTAAAGGAAACAAAACTCGAGTTAAAAATGTCAAGTTTTCTTCGTAAAAAAAAGCTTGACTGTAATTCGGTAAGACAATTTAATGAATACGTAAATCACCAAATTAACAAATAAGGTGTAAATTGGTTTATTTAATTTAATGGAAAGTACAATTATTAAAAACACAATTCTCATAAACAATTTAAGTTAGGTTCCGTTTTGTCGCTGTAATAGTTAGGGTAAACTTTTGTCGCTGTCATAGTGACAAAAACACCGCGGCTAATGGGATTTTTAGTGTATGAAAAAAATTGTCACTAAAATAGTTGAAAAAAACGAGTTTTTGGTAATAGGGGAGTAGAGGTCGAGGGAAAAGTCGTTTAGTTTCAATGAGAAAATAAATTGTGGTAGAACCAGACCAAACTCATACCATCTTATTCCTCATATGATTTTGCACATGAAGATGAAATTTACGACCCTTTCATCACTAGCTGAACCCCTAATTTTTAATAAACTTTATTTTTTTAACATAATCGAAATTAACGTTTCTCAGAATTTCCAACGTAATATCTTTGGAATTTGTGAAGCTATCGAATTTGTTTTTATTTTATTTGAAAGCAGAAACGTGAGCGATATTTCTGTTAGTACTATAATAAATAAAGTGCGTAATAGTATATTAAAGTACAAGTTGCAGAAGATTCAAGCACAAATTTGTAATTCCGAAACGGCGAGTTGAGGAAGAAATAAGTACATATCTACTTGAAGAACCTTGTGCAACAAGTGCTTTATACTATTTTTACCACTTTATATCATTTTATAAATTAAAAGATGAAATTTTTTTTTTTTTTTAAGAATTTTGCGGCGGTTGGCGACATTTATGTGGAATAATTTTAGGCGGCTGTGAAAAATAAAAGTAATTCTTCTTCACATTTTAAAACGAATAGTGAAGAAAGTCGGTTACTAAAATTAAATTAACGCCAACGACTTATTAAAGCACTCAAATGACGTCATTTGTGTGCTAGAATAGTATATTAAAGTACAAGTTGTAGAAGGTTCAAGCACAGATTTGAAAGTCCGAAACGAGCCGCGAAGCGGCGAGTTGAGGAACAAATGAGTGCTTGAAGAACCTTCTGCAACAAGTGTTTTATACTATTTTTTCTATTTCGCCGCTTTATATCATTTTATAAATAAAAAGATGAAAATTTAATTTTTTTAAAGAATTTTGCGGCGGTTGGCGACATTTATGTGGAATAATTTTAGGCGGCTGTGAAAAATAAAAGTAATTCTTCTTTACATTTGAAAACGAATTATTTTTGTTTTATTAATATTTAAGCGTGTATATTACTGAAATATTCAGCCGCACTGTCATAAGCGTTATCTAAGGGGTCCACTTGTTCCCGTATCGTGGCCAGGAGTATTTCTTGCTCGGAGGTCATTTCCAAGGTGGAACTGCCTCCACCAGTCTTCATTATTTCTTTCTTTTAATTAATATTTATTTTTTTATAATTTTTATAAATACAATTTGTTACAAAAAAAAAGGAAGACTGTGGTGTCATGTAAATTTGTGTCATGTAATTACCTTGTCGTGAGCAGCGGTCTTCCTCGCTTCGCCCTTCTTTACTCTGGCTTCATATTGTTCTTGCTTAAATATATATTTGTCAACTGTAGCATGTGTTTTTTTATAAAATTTTTACGTGTTCCTGAGTCACCCTTTTACGAGTTTCCCGCTTTAGATTTTCGTAGAAGATTTTTAATTGCTTGACCGACCTAGTACCTGATTCAGCCAAGCAATTAAATTCTTCTACAATTGCTTCCCACGCAACTGCCTTTTTCTGCACCGCCCACGCCTTGGTGCATTTATCCTCAATAACTTCTTTATATCTAAAGGATGAGACAACAAGGAATAAGGAGTTGAAATGTCGAAAATATTGAGCTTAATTTAGTGGAAAATGGGAAAAAACTGAGGTTACGAGTACAAAATGAATAAAATTAATTGGAATAGTAAAATGTTAAAGTCTCTTGGTGTATTCTTGGTGTTGGTTTCTCTAGAACAAATTTGATAAAAATTTACTTCGTTACCACCGAAAGGAATATATTCTTTTCATTGTGGGTATAATTTACCCGATTCGACGACATCCTGCTTCGAACTTAGAAGATGAAACCACCACTACCACCAGAACACAAGACACAATTCAATGACAATGACACAAAAATTGTCAAAATGTCAAATTAAAGAAATACGGCGTTGTTGTCATATCGGATGTGTAATTAAACGAGCATCATATGATGAATCATTATGACATGTGCAAATTGTTTTGTGCATCGTTCATCCACGATTTTAGCCTTCTTTGTTTTTTTTTTCCCGTTTGTCTTTTCCTTGATATTCTCTCTCTTTTTCTCAGTTCCTTTATTTTGTAGAAGATTCTCTTTGGCAAAAGCCACCTTTCTATTTTTGTATCTTGCCTCCAAAATATTCTTCTCCGGCGTGTCTATAAGCACTGCTGTTTTTTTTTGTCTTCCCGTTGTTTTTGGTTTAATAAAATCTGACTTTGGCAAAGGTCGAAAATCTTCTGGAGAACATAAATTTTTATAGGTGGTGGAGACGGAACCATATTTTCATTTTAGGTTGAGGGTCGTCCACGAAATCATTTCTTGGTTGGTGTACCTCAGCCGTATTTTTTTCCATTGGTCTATCGGTGACATTACAAGGCACGAATTCATTATCAGTAAATATATTACGATTGAAAGGCCATATTCCAGTGCATTGAAAACCTGAAGTTATATTTTTTGCAGTCATACTTAGCAGAGAGGCCCCTCTCACCAATGCTGGAATATTATAAATAGTTATCCGTTTATCTGGGTTTGTTTTCATCCACTGATCGCATTCATTATTGATTTTTTTTTTTAAATGGGCCAAAAACTCCCCGGTCTAGAGGCTGCAGTTTGTGCGATGTACGAGGGCAAAGCCAGAATTACCCGGCCTGACTATGAAAAATTCAAAGTACAGTAACATGTTTTTTTTTTATTTTTTAATGTAGTCTCCGTTAACTTCAATACACTTATTACATCGCTTAATTAATTAATAATTCAATCCCTTTAAAAAAATATTCTTTTGGTTTTTCTTCAAAATGATCTAGCACAGCTGCTTGCAACTCCAATTCGTCACTAAAACGTCGCCCACGAAGGTCCTTTTTCAAATATCCAAATAAATAATAATCGCTTGGAGCCATATCTGGACTATATGGGGGGTGATCTATCTGTTGGAACCCACAATCCAAGATGGCAGCTTGTGTAACACCAGCAGTATGAACGGGCGCATTATCGTGCAGCAACCGCACACCTCTGGTCAGTTTTCCTCGAAGTTTTTCGCGAATATTGTCCCGAAGTTTGTGAAGTAATGATGCATAATACATGCCGTTAACGGTGGTATTAGTTTCTTTAAAATCTATTAAAAGTATCCCTTCACAATCCCAAAAGATCGTGGCCATCACTTTTTTTGTTGATTGGCAGACTCTAAATTTTCTTGGGGGTGCCTCACCTTTACGACGCCATTCCATTGATTCTCTTTTTGATAGAGGGTCATAATAAAGGACCATAGTTTCATCGCCGGTTACAACCGTTTCCAATATAGGGTTTGGGTCGGTACCACACAGTTCCAAAAATGATCGAGCACACTCCACACGGCGTTGTTTTTGAAGCGCTGAAAGGTGTTTGGAAACCCATCTTGCACTGACTTTCTGCATTCCTAAATGGTCATGCAGGATTCGGCGAACACTTGTATCAGAAACTTTGGTCATTTCTGATATTTCTTTGACCTTCAAACGTCGGTCACTTAATACCAGTTTTTCCACAAGGGCAACTTTGTCTTCGGTTATCACCTCTACTGGCCGACCAGGTCTTGCGTCATCTTCTAGGGATTCCTGTCCAATACGAAAACGTTTTGCCCATTCTTTCACCACAGAATAGGACGGGGAACTTTGGCCGTATACGCCATCGAGTCTGTCTTTAATAATTTTAGGTGTAAGCCCTTCTTTGGTTAAGAATTTTATGACTGCCCTGTACTCAATTTGGTTCACCTGAGACATTTTCGTAAACGCGTCTTATTCAAAATGCTTACAATTGACAACTATTTGATTTAAGAGATCAATTTTTTTTCTACAGCTTACTATGTTATGTGCTTATAAGAAGACAAAATTTTATCCCGATAAAACATCGGCATCTACACCCCGGAGGGGTGTCTTATAAACTGTTCATGATGTCGCTTCAAAAGGAAGATGAACATAGGACAAATACTGTTATCTAATGCATTCACAGCTACACAGACTGTTACTAAAGTTCCCCTTTCCTGAGAGGTTATTGCGTCAACTTGTTTCACTTCCTTTTGAGCAATAACTTTATTTGGTTTTTGTACTGTAGTGCACCCAGTTTCATCTACATCGTAGATGTTGTTTGGTTGAAAACCATATCGCTCCAAAACATCAGCAAGGTTATCGAAAAATTTATTCACATTTTTGCTTCAGGGGTGCGTATTGACAAATTAGGATTTCGTTTTAGAAATGCCGTAAGCCAATCTTCACTCGCCATTTGTGCCGTTTCCCATCCTGTTGGAAAATTGCAATTGGCGTGTTTAGCATACTGGTAGGCCAGTTTTCGTAGTTCTTTGGGCGACAGTCCAAAATACAGTTTAGCCGAGATTTCGCAGTAATTACATAATTCCTTTTCCAGTTCTTGAGTCAACACTTTATTATGTGGATTATAACCCATTTTTGGGATTTTGTTACTCCTAACTGCTTTAACATACCAGTAGAGTGTAACATGGCACATTCCATATTCCTTCGCCGTTCCTCTTACCTAGGCATTTTCATTAATTACTCTATTAGCAGCCAAATTATACAGTTCTTGAGGGATTTCACCCCTGTTAGACTTTTGTTGTCTAGGTTTTACCATTATTTGCAGATTTGCACCGAGACTGTAACAACTGTGAGGATGGCCGGGATGAAATAAAAAAAAACTTGTTTAGTTCCACAAATTTTATTACCCGTCTCACTTATTTACAAAACTGTATTTTTTTTTCAAGACACACTTTTTTTTAATATCGTTCTGTCGGATTAGAAGTGCTGACTAATAATGCCGAACATTTAATTTAAAAAAAACAGGCGCTCACACAATATATAAATAATGTTTCAGGTAGCCAAAAATAATACGGCTGGTGTCAATTGTAACAGTGTTACAAACGACACCTTGAAAGATGTTACATTCGACACCAGCAGCTCTTTAACTGTTTGCGTGGAAAAATTTTCAACTTAACCTCAAGTTTAGGGCAAACAAACTGCAATGAATTATAGCCTAAAAGGCGCTTGTTACGGCCAAATGATCAATTCTAACGCTCTCATAACTATAAGGACATAATTACAGATCTAACGAACAGTGAATTATTTACTTTTTAGATCACAAAACACACTTTCTCCACCACAGACGAAACGTTTCAAAGTTATGAAATTCAAGTTGGGCAAATGAACTAGCTTATAATAACCGACTCTAGTGGCACAGTAGTTTGTCTGTAACTTAACAGATGGAAGCACAATTTCGAATGTTCCATTTGACCCCTGTTACATTTGATAGAGGTCTCCCCTACATTAAAAGAGCCACTACTCTCAACAGCACTTGTGGTTTACCTCAATTTAAGTGGGATTTGAAAACAGATAGTGTATGCATGGTAGTAACAAAATATGGTGTCTAACAGACGACAAAAATTATATCAAAAATACAGAAAAAATTGTACGTCTTACCGTGACAGTACACGTGCATCCATCCACCCCCGCTGTCACATACGTAATAAGTGGCGCTGGATGCAGCCAGTGAATAGGTGCAGGATGGTGTGCTGCGGGGGATGTATTATTTATCTAGCTGTTCCCAATTACCCGCCGTTCTCAATTACCCCACTCTCCCCTAACATTTTCAGCAAGCGAGAAACTTTTTTATTTAAATCGAAAACACTATATATGCTGCGTATCAAATTTAGACGAAATACTGAAAAAATGTTTGATGCTAAATCTAATGCAATTGAATTAATATTTAGTGATATATGAATTTTTTTGAAGCGCTACATTCTTTCGAGCAATGCGTTTGGACGCCGCGCCGTCTGTATAAGTGGAGTTTGGCCAAACGACTTGCATCAATTGATGTAGACTGCAGAAATACAATAACTAAATAAAAATTCAATATAAATTAATATTTCTATTCATAAAATAAAAGTTTAGATAATGTCCATAAATATGTTATTACCGAGATCGCTCTTTAAATTTATATTGTTGGCAATACAACTATTGTTGCAGTTTGTACAGTTCCATTGAAGGCCTTCTTTCGTACAAATACATTTATTGTAACAACAATTTTTCTCAGAACAGTAAATCGATAAAACATCCCTCATTGAATCTGGTATTGATTTTTTGGTATTGAAAATAGGCTCCCAGTACCCACTTTCAAATCTCCATCCATATTTTTCTGGACTACCAACGTCGGCATTTGTTGAATTTGTATTTCCGATTGCAAATCCTCAGTGTCGTTGCAGTCAGGAATTTGTTGATAATTATCGAAACCAGATGTTGATGAACTAAGTATCTGAATTATTGTCGTTTTCTGTGACAGTTTTAAAAGGAACTTTTAGATTTTTATTACAATATGCAAATCATATGCAAATAGACCGTTATATCCTGTTAGTTTCGAAATCATATTTACAGTGAAATCTCCTATAAGCGGACATCAACGGTGTCATGCTTTTTATCTGGTTAATGGAGGTGTCCTCTTAAAAGGAATAAGTGTAGATAAACACAAAGTAAAATAACATAGTTATTACTTATCATAATCAATAACAGGACTTATCAACTACTTTTTGACGAAAAATTCAAATCATGTAGTTGGCTTCTTAAAATTAGCAAATCTATAATTAAACTTCATAATTCTGACTCAGTGGAAAGAAAAGTTCATTTTTCTTTTGATTTTGGACTTATTTGTTGGAATTATTTTTTTCTATTTCGGTGTTAGAATAAATAAGTCTATTCCAGCACCCAAATGACGTCATTTGAGTGCTGGAAAAAGTCGTTGGCGTTAATTTAATTTTAGTGACGGATTTTCTTCACAATTCATTTTTAAATGTGAAAATAAGAATAATTTTTATTTTTTACAGCCGCCTAAAATTATTCCACATACCTAAATGTCGCCAACCGTCGCAAAATTCTCTAGAAAAAAAAATAAAATTTTCGTTTTTTTGATTTACAAAATGCAATAAAGCGGCAAAATAGAAAAAATAGTATAAAGCACTTGTTGCAGAAGGTTCTTCAAGCACTCATTTGTTCCTCAACTCGCCGCTACGCGACTCGTTTCAAATTTCAAATTTGTGCTTGAATAGATATCTTCTGCAACTTGTTCTAAATCCCATAACATGGGCGGTTTTACTTTTTTAATAACGATGTGACTTTGACAAATGGGTTTACGCAAGTTAAATAACAAAAATGTTTGTGAAAAGCATAATTTTAATAAATGGCAATTCTAAAAAACAGCTTTAAGATGAAAATACAAAGTCATTTTTAACAAGAACAATCATTATTCAATTAATTAATTAATTTTCATAGCGACATTGTTGTCAAAAAAATTTAAATCGCCAATGTAATGGGATTTGAAAAGCAAACTATGAATTTTACAGGAGACGCGTCTATCTGATGTCTGATGTGCATGTAAGATAGTTGATGCGCTAAACATAATAATGCTAGTAAAATTGTAACCAGTCCATATACAGATACGCCTAAGTAGGGAAAAATGCTCAGTATTGTTTGTGGTTCATAGGCAAAACAACTCAATTTTTATAACTTTCGTTCATGCGCTCCTTTGTTATGAAGCTCTCAATATTGTATAGTGATAACAATACTTTCTTAAGTACAAAATTGTTGTACTCAGTTATAGAAAAAGTAATTCGGCTTTATTAAAAACACAGTCAATAGAGAATCACGCTAATTTTGCTAACTGTGAATATTTTTTTGAACGTGAACAACCAGCATTTCTTTTCTTGGCTTCTTTTTGACATGAAAAAATCATCTGTGTAACCAGAAATGAAAAAAATATTTTTTTTGTAAATTGCACATGATGTTCTGAACATCCCACAAATGTCCGAATTTTTATGTCTCTTAATTTCTCGACAATCTCAAAAAATCTATTTCTTTTTTTGCTCTGCTTCAAAAAATCAGCAATTATTGCCTTTACACTTAAGTAAAATTACAAGGTCCCTAGATGGAAATGTTACGTATCCTCGGCTTCCTAAAATAATGTATGTGTTGTAGGATTCCACGCCCTCACTAACAAGTGACTCAACACAGCGTGTGCACTGTTCTTTTTTATGTCGTCGTGCTAAAGCACCGCAAACGAATTAAATGCTTCCTCATTATTACTGAATAAATAAGATGCTGCAGATGAAGTGCCAAAATCTGTTTCAAGTGCAGAATCTAGCATTGAATCGACCTCTGCCTTTGTCATTTTTTTCGATTTGTCACCACATTGGAAGGGCCTTCAACTAAGGCATCTAACATGTTACGACCTGTTACATTGCTCCTTCGTGGTGGTTTTACAAGAGAATAAAGGGACAATAAACGAAAGAGTTGTACAATTTGCAGCGATTCTGCATTACACAGGGCGATAAAAAAAGACATGTCGTGACAACTTTGCAAATTATATATCATTTTGTTCGTCTCAGTGAGACAAATCAAATGCACTAAAATTTTTTTAAAAAGTTCACACACTTTGAACTAAATAATCTTATCTTGTACTCGATGTTAAAGAGTGCTTTTATCAACTAATTTCCGTAGATAAAATAGTCTTTTATCGTCTAGTGAAATAAAGTAATTTTTATCTACTGCTTATGTTCTTTATTTTGTACAAAAAATTCTGATAGATAATTTATTCGATTTTGCCTAATAAAATGACGTCTATTAATGTCAAATCAAACTATTAAAAAGTCATTGTTTATTTTGTTTATTTAAGCAGCGTATTAAAACGTCAATAATCGGCGCATTAAAAATTTTAATCCTCTGTTTTA